CACGCTCGTCCGCGCAGGCTCCCCGCCAGGCTTGTCTTCTGCCAGCAGCTAAACAGCTTCATGAAAAAAGTGTATAAAGCCATTGTACTGTTCTTGAACACTTGACTACATGATAGAAGCATTACAATCTTTACTTTCCTTATCCTTCTATAAGCTAAGGTGGTTTTTTTACCCTAAAATAAAACCAGAAAATGTCAAGACATGCAGCTGCACACAGGCTAACAACTTCTAATACACATTATTTTCTTTTTCTAGATTGAAATGCTGCCTGATGGATTATTTCAGTGCAAAAAGCTGCAGTTTCTTCTTTTGGGAAACAACAGTCTGATGTATCTGTCCCCTCGTGTGGGTCAGCTGCTGAATCTGGTTCACTTAGAGCTCATTGGAAACTATCTTGAATTGCTTTTTGAACTGGAAGAATGTCAGTTCTTAAAGCGGAACGGCCTAATTGTAGAAGAGAGGTTGCTAAAAACACTTCCACCTCGTGTAAGAGAGCGTTTGCAGACATGCTCAGATAAGTGCTAAGTTTAAAAACGAAACTGCATCACTGCATCCCGTAGGCCTTTTGCTTAATATCTCTCCAAAGACCTGTATAGGTGGAAAGAAGTGAAGAAGAGATAAGTTTACAAATCAGTCTTAAATACATTGAACTGAGTCATCTGTATTGGAAAAGAAAAACTTATTTAGATTTTAACAGAAAATGCAGCCTTTAACAGGTAATTGTATGTGTGAAAAATCTGAAATATGAATTGCTTGAGCTCTGCTGATTCAAATAATTCAGTTAAACATTTGTGATGGTATTGAAATGAAAGAGTTGATGCCCTGACTACAGTGAGAGTGTATATACTTTTTTTTTTTCCTGTGGGAATTTTTTCTGTTGATAGTGATAATTTTAAACAGTTTCATCTCCTGCCATATGAGGTCTATGAATTGTCTGGAATTAATTCCTAAATATGAACTCTTCACTAACTTAGAATATGTTAAATTAAGATTTTAAATTAAGATTAATTATTTGAGCAGTTGAATTGCATGGGGTATACTGAAAGTAATTTTTCAACATAACTTGATTTTTAAAGCTTTTGACAAGTACTGAGCATTAATTCTATAATTGTGGAAGATGCCATTTGAATCTTGCTATTAAAACCAGTTAGACCATAGTACCTGAAATCAGTTTTAGTATTGTCTTTAAAATAGTAACTACAAAATGATTGTCTAGAAATTGGGAGGAATCAAAAGAATCTGGACTAACTGTTGTGCACACGTACTGGACAACAAATCTTACAGTACTGATCTTCATATAGATAATGATGACAAACAGAACATGATATGGTTGCAAAGTTGTCTTCTGTATGCTGTGAGCATCCCAGGTGTTAGTGTAATGTATGTTGCCATTTAACTTTTTTGTAACTTCTCATTACTGACTGCCTCTGCTGCTTCTCCACACACAGTTCCTCTATTTTGGCTTCTGGGGAGAGGATGAAGGAGGCTTGTATTAGGTAGGGACAGAAAGACACAGTTAAACCAAATAACCACACAGCTTATAAGCACTTGGGAGGGGAAAACAGGAAGAAGCATAAGCTTTGCCCCTTCTAGGGATGTAATAATTACATAAATTATAGTAGTGGAATGAGTTTTTATGCCATCCTTAATATTTGCAAAACTGGATGGAAATAAAATGGTTCCTGACTTCATTCTGCTGTGTGCTGTTTTATTATGCTTGAAGTCTTAACTCTCATGTTTATCATGGTCACTAAAATGACAAGTTATACACCTGGGAAGAAAAAAGAGCACGCTTTCCCAAAACACATTTGAAAACTTTTAGTTACTTTATTAAAGTTTTCAAAATGAAACTTAATTATGGTTTAAGTAAATGAGGTAAACTGTGCTCTTAATGACTTTGTGTCCATGAAGTGTGCTAACTATGCATTCCAGCTTTGTAATTACAAATCAACACAGATAAATCAGTTTTAGTACTAAACTACTTTTAGTCATCTTTTGCTCCCATTTCAGTGACACTTCTGTGGAGAGTAAGGTTTATTTTGAATGAAAATGCCCAATCCAAGTCAGATCAACATGGAAGTAGGAGATATCTCTGCAGTAACAGTCCAAGAGGTGCATATTTAATCACTGTACTGATGGTATTCCAAAGGTCTTTGTAGTTAGAGCACTTTTCTTCTCAGGGAACCAAAGTGTGGTAAACCTATTACTTTTTATGTTGTTCTAGAAATGTTCAGTGTAAACTGATTAGTTGTGTTTACATGCAGACTAGTGCTGCTGGAACAGTCTTTCATGGTGTTTGTATATACTTTCAACTAATTTTGAGTTGTATAATAGTTCTGTAGGAATTGACATGGTTCACAAATGAAGCAAGTTGTGGTAGATATGATTAAACTGGAGTACACTGATTTGCACCTTTGTGGCAAGAGTGTTGTTAATAATTGCTGTAGGTCTGTCAAGACTTTATAACTTAACACTGAGGAACACCTTCATGCCAGAATTTGACACGCAAGATTTGCAGTCTAGTAATCTTTAATTAAGCAGGGGTTTTCTTTAAAGCTTTTTTCTAAATTTGAAAGCTGCATTGAAAAAGTTAAATAAGCGAGCAACTGGTTTAGCCAATAACTTCAACTTTTTAATGTTGCATCTTTTTTCATCATCAACAAAACTGATGGAGGCAAACAATCTTAAATGTGCGTTATGTGCTAGTTCTGTGAGAGGTAAATAACTTTGAGAAAGGCACTTCATTTCTACAATATGTAACTTGAAAGGATTTGAGGCAAGCTAAGAAATGCCTAAAAATATTAATACTGGTTTATAGATTAAAGAGTTTACTTTTTTTGCAGCCTTTAATATTTTTTTCACTCTGCACCCCCTCAAGAGGGCTGGATATTTTCACTGCGTGTTTGATTGTTCATAAACCACGCAGACAAAAGCCAGAAAGTTTAAAGGCTGGAATCTCTAGCCTTGCTTTCAAACCGCAGTGTGCCTTTATTATCCATTTTGTACCATGAAACTCAATCCTACTGCTTAGAATTGAGCGTGGAGACAAATATGTAACTCTGAATTTCTTTAAGTTCAGCCATGACCTTAAAATTCAGTATATTTCTTTAAAGTAAGGGGATTTTCAGGGAATCAATATATGAATCCACTGTCATAAACTTTGTACAATAAATATTGTTGGCATCTAGTCTTTGTATTAAAATCACTTCTAATCAAAAGGCTTTTCAGCTTGTTTCAGTGTTGTGTTGTGTTTAAGAACTTTGTATTGTGACCTTCCATATCGTGAATGTTTCTTTTGAAAATTAAATTTTTTTTTGCGTTACAATTCTATGAACTGTTCTTTATTTTCCATATGAGATGATGCATTTAATGCAAAGGTCAGAAGTCTGCTTTCAGCTGTCTTGTACTCATGTGCTAGCAGGTGCGAGTTCCACAGGAAAGTGTAACGATAATAAACAGCAGTGGGAAATGAACACTGTGCTCCATACCAAAGCAGTTCTTCTGTTCTGGGCTAGGAGAAAAGTTCATGTGTTGATGAGAACCAAGCTGCCAACTTAATTGTTGTTACAGAGTCTTCTCCATGTCTCCCATTTCAATTTTTGTGAGCTGGGTAAATATTGAACGCAGCCTAAAATTGGACTGAGAGAAGCAAGACGACAGGGAATTCTCTTCCCAGCTTGTCATGCAGCTAAGCTGCCAAAAACAATGATGCTTGTAGTAAATCATGGATGTCTTCCAAGCATCACACATTGTGTTACATCAAAGATCTTATTCCTCTTCAAATGCAAGATGATACCTGATGGCTTTTTGTGGGCACCTGGGGTTGGTTTTGTTGGAATCTTTGAAGATAA